TGTCATCATATTCCATCCTTCTCAAGCATTTTTGTATCATCATTACCCTTACACTTTCAATATTCTAAAATGAACTAAAATCTTTTCTTTAAGTGTTTTTGCCCTAAATTGTTCATCACAGTAATGAAATACTTATACTCAACTCTGTACATTTTCAGACCCTTCTAATTTGAATAAGCGTTAATTCTAAGTTCATTGAAAACTAAATAACATTGCCTTTGTAAGGCATTTTTTCCTTCCTTACGATGGGCTTTCGTGGTGCAATTAGAAGCACGTCCGGCTAGCAGTTGACAGTTAACGGGTGACAGAGACACCATCATTCTGACATGAGGTTAGGTAAATCTGGCATTAGGAGATACATCAGGTAACACTGTAAGATATTGTAGCCGTTGTAGTTCAGAACATAATTACATTATTCACATAATCGTTACATTATTTCAGATGCTCAGATTACTTTACAGCAGAACATACACTTACAAAGTGCAGATTATAAATACACAAACTGAGTGAAAACAGTAATACTAACATTTTCTAAACAAATACCAATGAATGTGATAGCCTCAGTTTGCACTGATTGTTCTCCTGCATTATTGAACAAAATTTCTGGATTTTTCCATACATCAGAGCTGAAATGCCGCAAATTGCAATAATGTATTGCGTATGGGAACATCATGCACTCAAATAGAAAGCTTTGCTAGATGTAGATTTAGTAAAGAAAATCAGAGTTTTTAAAACAGTATTGTTATTTTTTATAACAGTTTGTTATAAAAAAAACAACGAAATATGTTGTTCGTATTTATATACAATATATGTACACATTTATTTTTCAATAAATACAGTAAATTTTAATTAATAAATAAAATATTAGGAATACCTTTTGCAAATGGCTACGAGAACTTAGTTTTAGATCCAAGGGAATGGTGATCATTAATAGTGTTAAGAGCTATTACTAATAGGAACAGTATTCATTTCCTTGCAGTCGGCCAAAATATAACTTCCTCAGCTCACGTGGACAGGGCATTCGTTTCAACATTAAACATATTCAAATAGTAGTTCTGTAATGTATAATTTCCGGTTGTAATTTGATTTAAGAAGTCAGAATATGTCTTTCCTTTTAGGATAAATCTGTATATCATTCGAATTATAGCTAGAGTATCTCATCGACACTGCCACACCTATAAAGCCCCATTCTTTAGTGAGGACTTTTATTCCTACATAGCTTAGTTTAAATAAATTAGTTTAAAATACGTCCTAGAAATAGAGTGAGTAGTTCTAGCTCTTCCCTGAGATCTGTTTCCTAGAATCTTGTATTCTGTGATTTCCTTCTTTAGCGAACAGTTCATCTGCTTTTTCATTTTCGGTACAGCCATTGTATCCTTTTATCAATGCACATTCTACATTGAGTTTGGGGATTAGAAACTTTATATCTTGAATCAAAATAATTTCCAAAGATCTTTTCCAAATACTTAAGAGCCGCTTGCTTGACTGTATGAAAATAGTTTGTGTTCACTTCATACTATGGTTTTATTAAAACTCAGACTGATATTTGATGAATAGCATTTATCTCAGCTTATACCGAACGTCCTGCCTTCTGCATTGATACGATTATTATTATTGCAAACACATAAAGTTGCACCTGCTCTTTTTAGAGTCTTGAATCTATCTGTAAAAGTTTCTTACCTAAGTTTTATTGGTGGATTATCAGCTCCGCCAAACATTTGAACTACAGCAAAATGGATACTAGGCCATTTCCTGTTGAAAACAAGATTGTAGAATTCGTAAAGTGCTTATTATGACATTTTGATATTTCATTTCTAAAGCTGGATGTACTGAATATCGGAAGTAAAAGTTGTCTTATAACTTCTTGTTTCGGGTTATAAAATTTGATCTTCGAATTAAAAATATATATATTATTTCTGCTTCTAACGGTGGGGTTTGTCATATGCGTTACATTTGCATATTGTTATTCTAAAATGAATTCCCTTATACCATTCTATATGAGCTTCCTTCGACAAGGCTTTCAGAGCACATAATCGATTTTCGAATTTTGCAGTTTTTTTGTCAATAAAATTTGATTTTTTGTCAGAATAACCAATGTGTTAAAACTAAAGTAATGTTTAAGTTTATAATTATCCTCGAGTTTTCATTTATTAATGACTCTTTTTCTATATGCATTTTTCCATTCAAACATACTGTAGGCGGTAGCCACCTTATGACTTTGAAAAGAATACATAAAACAGCAGATTTTTCTTTTGAAAATTTTAGCTCGTATTTTCAAGTCTATTCTAGTAGCAAAGAGATACCGCATTTAGTCTTATGAAATATCTGACTACCAAAATTTCTTTATATTTGTAGATGTAATCAGGGTAGACTTGAGAAATAACACCCTTACCTAAGATAAGTTTTAGTGTTGAATTCATAACTCAATGCCAGAATCAAATTCTGATTATAATCCGCTTTTATAAAAATTGAATTTTTAAAGAAACGGATTTTCAACATAGGGAGATTTTTGTATATCACATATATTTCATTCATTTCATAAATAATAAATCTATCCTTCTATATTTCTATATAAATCCAACATATATCTTTCCTCTAAAGTTTAAAGTTTTAATGGACATTTCGATTTTTAGCAATTTAATTTTAATTTTAATTTTTAATAGTTAATTTATATACAGTATGACCCGCCAAACACTGCTGAAGACGCTTTTATATCTTTTATAACAATATTAAGCAGGTTTAAATTTCAAAATTTAAAGTCCATTTTATGCAATTTTATTCGACTACGTGTGTTTTGCTACATCCCAGAATAAATCTATATAGTTAAAGAATAAATCCTCTAGTTAGATTTCAAAGTGGAGAAAATCTTAATCTTGAAATTGTAAATATTTCAAAGATTTGATTCCAAGTATATTCCAATTCTCCGAATAACGTTTTTCACATTTAGTTCGGAAGTTTTTCAGTGGTTCAGTATTGATGTTGACAATATTATAAAATAGGCGTTGCAAAATTAGTTGTTAAGTTTATTGTACTAAATGGATGCATTTTATTACGGAAAAACTACCTGTATTGAAGAGAACAACTATTTTGTTATTCCGATTTCCCTTAAGCTTCGTTGAGGAAATAGGTAATATTGTGCACCATCTGATATTCTGCTCATGAAATTAGGGTGTAATAAAACTACCAGAAAGTAATACGCATAACCAAATCCAAAAGAAGATGAATATTTCAAGTGAAGCAGATATGCACAGATGCATAAATGTGATGTAATATACGCTTTTTCTTTACGTTGTTAGAGGTAGTTTTCAGAACTTTAATTGCCGAAAGCTTTAATCATTCACTATCCGAAATAGCTGAACTCTAATTACATTGGATAAAGTGTGTTTACGCTACTGATTCCATACACGGATTACTCGACACAGATTATGCATTGAAACTACTATGGCTAAAGCTGACGGCATGAACTAAATATTCAGCACATTGTCTCAAATTTTAACAGGCAGATGTATATGTAGTATAAGATAAATAGTCTATTCTTGTGACGCAGCTACACTCAAACCACCATAAGTCTGATCTGGCTGTAGAGGTATGTAAATAAAGTTTTAAGAAGCCATTCCTGCCATGATGTATTTATATGTAGTCAACACGAGATGACACGGGGAAGGCTTCCGTGTACGTGACACGTGTACAGTAAGGCTATAGTTGATTTTGCATGATTTCAAGTTCTAGAAATGTTTATGACTCTACCTGTCTTAGTACCTGAACTGTAGTGGCTGACAAAGTCAATCAATTAGATTTTGCATGCAAGCTGCGCATCTTCCTCCTTGAACAACGTAAGTAATTAAACGTATCTGCCCTCAAACTCTTTTGGCCATACAACTAACAGTTAGAAGATTCGGGTTCAGTCATAATATAAGAATATCTTCAAATATTTAATGTACCCAACATGGACGTCGTAAACATCTTAAGATTTCCTAATCTATAAAAATTCTTCCATTATTTGCACAATTCAAATTTCGCATACAATTCAATAAGATTTGAGTTTCTTAAAGGAAGAGAAACGTTATTTTTAGAAATCTTTTATCTTCAGAAAGAAAATTTTATTATTTGTGAATAATTTATGTAAATAAAATTTATCATTCGGCCTGCTCCGATTACGTAAGCATACAGTCCCAATTAATAGCAGATTTTAGATAGTTCGCTAATTCGTAGTAAATATCGTTTTCATGCTGAATCTTTCGTATTTTTTCCCATCTACCAGCTCTATTAAACTAAAACGGCATTTTTTAGTAAATAGACGAAACTAATATGCCGCGTGTTTCGCAAACGTTCCTGAGCATTATCGCAACCTCGTTTAATATGTGTTTTTTTATTATTATTATTTAGCTGTATTATGATTAGTTCCACTGAAAGTATCAGTAAGAGTAATACTATAAATTAAAATTATTTTAAGTAATATGAAATTTAGCGCATACTATGAGTAAAAACGATTTTATAATCTTCTAAATGTACATGTTAATGTACTCGTTTCTTTAAGTAAATTTTACATCAGAAGATTTTAGATTTTACAGTATTTTAAGCATATTGAGTTATCTAGTAATAATACTTAAAATTTTCACTTTATGTTAAATTCAGATTCACATTAAATTTGGGACCAGTAAAACATCAATCTGCCTTCATGCAAGACTCAAAGCTGTAATGTAAATCCTGATACTTTTAAAGGCGTTGTTTCTAATATTATGCGTCATTTAAGAGGAAAATATCCGAACTATTTCACGACTTCAACACATGGCTTCTAGCTTCTAGACAGACTTAATTTTATTCGCCAGTCTTCCAAAGAGCAATAATTGCAGCTAAAACGGTGTGTTTATGCTTTCCCCCAGGGTAGGTTTCGTCTAAACGACGACGGAGAAGTACCACAAATTGTAAACACAACCCAACCATTTCCTGTTTTCCGTCCAGCAAACTCGAAAACGGAAGCATTTTAAACACTATTCCATTAACTGTCCTGGCCCGTAGGGCTTCTTGTTCATTAAAGCCACTTCCTGACAAATTTGTGGGGGTGGAGTGTTTTTAGAATATCTGGTTGAGTTCGATTATTTCTGGAAGAATGCCAGGTATATTCCTCATCTTTCTAGTATCGTGGGAATGCAATCATCTCGTTAACAGAGCTGGATTACTTGTATGGATATGACGATTTGGATTAGATCATGGTGAGATAACTTCAAACATAATCAGCTTCCATTAATGAAAATTATTTACTTTCAGCGTTTCAAAATTAATCATTTGCTCATTTTAATTTGTTATTGTGAAGTCTTAAACATCTTTTACTTCTTTGCATTTTACGTAAATATTTTGATATATGCTATGAATTAATAATAACAGATGAGCCCCCAATTATCAGAAGACTGATAATTCAAATGATCATTTATCCGAATTTTAAAAACTTTTTGGGGGCAAATATAGAAACAGATTCGATTTTAACCAAGACTGAGGTGTTAATGAGTGAAATCCTTCGGAATTTCCGAACTGCTTCCGTTCCTACTATTTATTTCCTTTAGCAGCTGCTCTCCCATATTTCGTCTTCGTCCTCTTCTAACTGTTTCATAACACTCTTCCTGTACTCTTCTATCCTACCTTTGTCTCTAGTTCGAGCCCAACAGCGGCCGAGCGGTAAAGTCGCTGAACACTGGTAGTTCGGTCCTAGGTTCGAATCCCGCGAACGGGCTGGCTGCATAGGTGTTTTCGTGGTTTTCCCCATGTGTAACGTGTATACGAGCCAGTTTCCCTTAGAAAGTCCTCCACGAAGGCATCCCTTCCCTTAGGCAGATAGCCCTCGAGGGTTTGCCGTAATTAAATAACCTAACCTCTTAATTCGTACTTGCTTCTTTTTCCGTGATCCACATGACTAAAAAAAGCTTATGTGTGTTTGCTATATACTATGTTGCAATCTAAACGGCTAACATCTTTCCAAAGACAAAGTAAATCTCGCTTTTAAAATCAATATGATTTGCTTCTGAAATTATGGAAGCTATCTTCAAAGCTGATACTTGGACGCATAATAAGGTATAGATAGCTCATCTTTATATTCTCGATAATTCCTTGGTTCATCGTTGGGATAAGGCTTGTTATGTTGGACGGCAGAAACATTTGTACCCCGTTATACATTTGGTTCCAGCTTCTAGGCTTAAATATCAGATTTAAAGTTAGACTGAACAGTGCCGGTTAATTAGATACTGGTTACAAGAGATTTTACTGTAGCACGATTTCATGGCGATCATTGATCCATCATCTCGGTACTCCTCAACTGTATTTATACTTTGAAAGCCGTCAGGTTAATTGACTATCGCTTTGATGCAAATATTACGTGACTGTTAATTTATAAGGCTAATTTTTTTATAATATTATCAATGATTACTAAGTTATTAGTTATTACTTTTAGCAGATTGTTAATAAATGTGTTAGAGTAGTTCATGAACTAGAAGAAAAAATATCCAGGCATCAGTTGGCCATAATTTTATTTAATCTGCTTTAATCTTTATTCTTAACATAAGTTCTGGTTTGTAACTGTAATAAACGGCATCTAAACTGAAAAAAAAATGTGCTTTCAATAAAAAATTGATTAATGTTTATAAATTTCTTAAATGAAACTTCTAGAACTTACTCCATCAAGCAAGAAGTATGTCACCTGTGGATTCTATTGTGGGAATGTCAGCAACTAAGAGTATGTTTATTTGCTAGAACTAATTCTTTTAGGTCACTTAGCCGAAAAATTTAATTTAATATCAGCATAAAACATTTAAAGCTTAAAGATGAATTTTTGCGTAAGGAAGATGAATACATACTTTATTCGAAACAATCATTTTCTTAAATCCATAAAAATTGTGTAAAGGAATCAAGTATCTGGATGCATTCTAAAGCTTTGTTCGGATAAATAGGCTTTACTGTATTTTTGAGAAAATTTTGGAATTTAAAGTAATATTATATTTTTTAATTAAATTCCCATTCCACAGATCAGCATTAGTACTGTTATCTCTTATTGTAACTGTTCTTCTAGAAACGCAAACGTTGGCTAGTTCTAAAAGTATTTATTAACAAGGCACAGAAGCAAATTATAAAGAAAATATACCAAAACAGAATATAAGCAAAACGGAACACCTAACATTTAGAATTAAAAGTTAGAGTCACAGAGACATAATTATTGGAGAATATATCCTCATTCGCGGCTGGAGGTCGACTCACTGTTAAGTTCTCGTTGTCACTAGATAGCATTCGATAAAACAGTGCGGTTACATCCAAATAGTTCTCTTATTTCTTTTTATCTATACATTAATTACATTAAAGATAATTTTTTCCTTAATTTATATTGTATTTATACTTATCTAGCTCATTACATAAATAAATAAAAAGTACTGTGGATATTGCACTTGCAAGAATTATAAAGATATTCTTATTTCATGTCTTCAGGGCAGATACATATTTCATGGTCTCTCTTTTATTTTTGTCTTTTGTAGCATATACATTGAGCTGCGGATGTAAAACAGAAACTTTGTCCTAAATGTTTTGTGAATTGATTTGGGGAAACAATTAATAATTATCTAATATTATTACCTCTTAATTTTTGTCTAATTTCATTGTATTTTGTGTTTCTCATATGTATTTTCTTAATGCTAAATTGACCTATTAATCTACGAACTATACAGAGATATATCGCAATCTAATAAATATTTTGACGTTAGATTTGCTCTGACTCTTTGTTATATCTAGATGGATATCCATGATATGACATCATGAGATGTGCTTTTTCTCATCGGCATTTTGACATCGATGCCCGGGAAAAAGAGACCATTCAGCCGATTACCCTTGCTTACTTTTTATGCTTGTTATCTTGTTAGAAAGTTTCCTTTATTCAAGATGCTCATCATAAAGCCGAGTGGGTAAGATAGCTTGTAGTTCAAACCACAGGGACAGGGACAGGGAAAAGTGGACGGAGCACCAGAACTTCGTCAGTGACTTTTACAGGTGTTGCTCCGCCGCACTGCTGTACCCCGCTAGGCTTTTAGTTGGCCCACAACTGAATCCTGACGAACAGATTGAGTGCATGGACCTTTCTCTTAGAAATGCTTTCACGAAAGTATCCCTTAGGCAGATAGTCTTAGCCCATTAATGCCCATACTGCCGTTCGTTTGAAGGAAATAAATAAAAGTCATTTTTTATGTATTAGAGTCTAATTAAGAAGAAAAATGTAACAGGAAAAAGTAATATTTATTTATACTGAAGATAGAAAATGTTACTAAAATGCAACGTTAGTCAAAACCAATTACTTTTAGGATACATGGAAACCTTTGAAGCATTTGTTGTACAAAGACGCATTACATTTATTGCAAACAGTTATCGGTGGACATTTAAAGTATTAGGACCTTTTTGTCAATTTCATTTGTTTGTTCAATTTTTCTCGATAATGTGACTTGTAGAATACATTATCGTTTTGCTTGTAGAGTATAATTTGAATTTCTAACCAGTTATTTTAAGTTAACGTACCTTTCCTATCAAACTTCACTGCACTTTCCTGCCAAAATGCCAGTTCCTTTTACCAGCTCGCGCGATATTCAAATTAGGTAGAGGGAAGGAAGTATTTAAAGGAAGATTTTGGAGGGTGAAACCAGAGCGTCTTCTACCTGTTTGAATGCCACTTTGCTAACTTTGATTCTCAAGAGATTATAATTCTACAGCGTTGAACTATTCTTGGCTTGTTTGCGCCAACTTCCAGAGACAGGTTACATGATAGTTAAACAACGAAGCTGTTAGGATATACTTCATCAAGTTTTAAGTTATCCATTAATCTTTAAGCCCAAAGGGGTTGGTTTTCGAAAGCACGAGTTGTTGACGCCTGTTAAACTTTAGTTGAGTTGATAAAGGGTTCTGTTAACTCTTCTCCTGACTTCAAAGGAGTATTACTTCAAAGTACTAACACTTTAAGGGACTTCCTAATAATCCTACCAAACACCATCATCTCTTACTTTTTATTTCCACTTGATATACAAAGTTGTCCAGAAGGTGTACGCCGCCCATATATTTGTTGTAATTCTCGATTAGCTTATGTTGCTTTTACAGCTACGGATTTGTTTTCTTTTCTTGAGCATCTCTTCGCCACTGAAGACGGATCAATTATATAAGTGTTAGTTATCATAGTTACTACGGAACTGTCGTTCCATCGAACTACTACGATGCTTTTTATTAAAGTGATGATATATGTTCCACGTCCTTTTTTTATCATTTTGTTGTTATATGGATTAGGAAGTTATTTCATAACAACTTCCTAATCCAATCCAAGCCAAATTGTTCCAGTGGCATGAAATTCCATCTCATTCAATTTCGCCAACAACATGTGTGGCGTAAAGACGCAACAATTTGAAGAAATTTCCTTCACACATTCAAAATATCTTACAACTTTTCCACCTAGCTGAAAATCGGTCGATGCCTTTGTAAACGTTTCTGAGTTTATATCGTAATGATAAATTACTCTTCAGAGAAACACAAACACGAAACTTTGTAACTTAAAATAAGGGGTTTTCCTTCGAGAAGCCTTTTGCATGAATGTCTACCAAAATTCGGAGTCATGTGCTCGTGTCGTCGGTAGAAAGATATGTAGAAGAAACCTCGTACTGCATGTAATTTGCGTTTAAAATATTTAAACAGGGTAGAATATTAGACACGTTTTTCGGTTTTATCCAATGCATTATTTTCAGCTAACTGCAAGTTCTGCTTCATATTAGTATGCGTATAAATTGCCATTGCTGCGCATACAACTGACATCATCAGAAAGCTACTAGTTAAGTATTTCTTGAAGAAGACATACACTGCAAGCGTAAAGCAAGAAACCTATTAAACGCTTCAAGATAGGAAGAGGAAAAAAATTCGACTTTTCTTATTAGCTTGTTTTACACTCACTTGTAATATGTTACAAAAGATTATGTTTATCAATTGTAAAAATACATCCACGAGGTTTAGATTGCGCAGGTTTTCTAAATTACTTTCTCGTTTGCACTTTCTATGTACTTTTTGTTCTACAGTACACGTAGTGTACTGTAGAACAATTGTACTGTAGAACAAAAAGTACACTTCAGTACACTTTGTTCGTGTTTGTTCTACAGTACACAGGTGTACTGTAGAACAATTTTTTTACCCAATTTCCTTGTTTTTAGATCATTCA